AATATATAATAAATATAATATATTATACATTAAGAAAAGATGTCAAAGGGTCAATATAAAATCAAAGGATTATGAGATTACTAACAATAAAATAATCCTTAAAGTTTTGTGTTTCTTCTGTCCCATATCAGGTGGCTCTTCTGACATGAGACAAAGATTTTGAATTTCATTTTAATAAGCATGCTGGGTTTAAAGAAGGAGAGATCCACATTCCAACTCCAAATCCAGTTTTAATTTTTAATTAGACTGTGACTACAAAAAACTATTTGAATTATATATCTGTAGAGAACAGCGGAAACAAACATCTGGTAAGATTTATGAAATTTTACCCTATTGAAAATGTGATATTCCAATAGGCCAATTTACTCTTTTTATTAAGATATTTTTTTCTGGACGATTTGTCCTTTTTCTTTAGATGTCTCATTTGCCCAGTGGTCTTCAGATTCCTTAGCTGGATACCCTTATTTTCCTGAAAAGACAAACAAAATACTTCCCCAACCCGAATTTTTTGGAGATTCTCTTTTGGCGTGTTAAATCTGGTGAAATGAAAAGCATTTGTTAATATTATAGGTTAGTTAAGATTAAAAGGTCATGATGTTTGACGAACTAGCATCTCTTCTCATTAAGAGGTGTATCTTGTTTAAATGGAATCTTTATCAATTTTGATGGTATCTATAGCTTTTCTTCTCCTGTGGAAACAAAAGCAAACCTAACACATCTCCTGGTTTCTATTCAGAGGTCAATACATCATTAAAGTGTATCGGCTGATTTAATTCCACAGCTGTTTCTCCACAGCTGTTGTTCCTTTCTCATTAGCATTTAGAAAATTCAAAGTTAATAAAGCATTATGTAACCTGTTTCTGGGTGTATTTGTCATCCCTTTCTGTTTTTTTTTAAACATATCCTTTAGAGCTCTATTTGATCTTTCTATAACTACCTGTCTTAAAGGATTGTGTGGTATGCTTTGTATTATAATAAGCAAAAAACTGTTTCATTTTCTTCGAGACATATGCTGGAGCATTGTCTTTATTTTTCCAGATATATTTATGATGGCCATAACTTCTAGCAAATGTGTGATTACCAAATCAATCTTTTCTGAACACAAAACAGTTGCCTATTGAAAACCTGACTAGGTATCAAAGATGTGGTATACATTATACAAAATGGAATACCTCCATCTGCCAGATTTTATTCCTTTGAGTACCCTTTGGGTTGCTTCCTGCAGAGAGTGGTGTTTGGTTGTATAAGGAACAAGTAGGACATTTCCTTATATCTTCTTGGCTTGTTGACATGTAATAGAAAAGTCCTTTTCTAAACCTTTGCTATCCCCATGATGTTTTTATGAGATTCTGGTCCCTTTAGCACATTTCCAATCAACAATTGATCAATTTCTTTATTACCTTGTGATAGAGGACCTGGCAGACTCATACAGGATCGGATGTGTGTTATGTATATAGGATGATGCCTATTCCTGATTACATCTTGTACCTGAATAAACAATGAAGTCAATTCTGTATCATCTGGTATAAATTCAGCGGTTTCGATATGTTAGACAACTCTGCATATTGCGAATCAGTAACTATGTTGACAGGTTCTTTAAAATCCCTTAGAACCATGAGGATAGCATATAATCCTGACTTTTGGACAGAATCATAGGGCTTTGTTCCACTTAAATATTCTGATTTGTAACCTGCCTTTCCTGAATTATTTGCATCAGTATAGAATGTAGGGGCTCCGGTTATTGGTGTGTCCTGTACAATGTGGGGAAGGATCTACTTAGTTCTCTTTATAAGTTGAATTCTCTTGCTTTTGAGATAGTTGTTGTCAATTTCTCCCAAAAAATTACTACAAGATCTTTGCCAAGATTCAATTTCTTCCCATAATTGGTTAATTTTGTCATTTTTAAAAGATACTATGATTTCTACTTGATGAAGTCTCAATTTTTCTTTTAAAAGTAACTTGAGTCTTTTTCCACATAAGTTTTAATTTTTTTTACTAGGTTTCTGCGGTAAAAAGATCCATTCTAAGATAATATCTTCCATCTGCTTTAAAATTCCTGTAGGGGAATGTTTGGAGGGTAATATGACCAGAATGCAGTTAAAATTTGGATCCACACAATCCACGTATGTCTTCTGTAATTTCTCTTCAATCAAAGCCAATTCTCTCTCAGCTTAAGCTGGTACTACTTCAGTCCTTGTCACCATCTGAGGTTTTGTTTAAATGAATTAGTTCATCAGGTTTTATCCCAATAGTGGGCCCGAACTGGGAAATATCTCCTAACAATCTTTGGATGTCATTAAGAGTCTGAAATAGATCTCTCCTAATGTGTACCTTTTGGGATTTAACTTTCTGTAACTCTATTTTGTAACGTTAATAATTAATAGAATCTCCTCTTTGTGTAATTTTTTTATTGCTGAAATAAACACCATTACCAAAAGGAACTTAAAGAGGAAGGAGTTTAGTTCATCTTAGAGCTCACAGCCCATTCCTGAGAAAAGTCAGGGAAGGAATCTAAAGGCAGAAACTGAAACACAGCCTTAGAGGAACTCTAATGCTTACTAACTTTCTCCTTGGGCTCGCATTCAGCCTTCAGTCGGCTTTCTTATGCCTCCCAGGCAGGTGTGCACTGCCCACAGCGGCTGAGCCCTCCCTCATCAATTGTAAGTCTAGAAAGTATCAATCAGACAGACTGGCACTCAGGAAGCTTCCCACAGAGACACTTCTGCTATATGCTAAGTAACTCAGCCACATTGTCTCCTTGTCACCGAGCCAGAATTTCTCCCTTGTACCTGACACCCTCCTCTACCTGTTCTTCAGTTTCTTTAATCATCTGAAAACTCCACACTGCTAACTATAACATTTTTCTTGTCACAGATCCTCCCACTCTCCTTTTAAAAAAAACTGAGTACACTCTCCATTAATTTTAAGGAACCACCTGAACTGGTTCTCCTGACCTTTTCTAATGCCAGGATTGGGAACATGGATCTTTCCAGAATGTGTGCCCTGGTCTGAAGCTTCTGTCTGCAGTTGTATTCTCGACTAGATTCCTTGGCTTCATCATTCAGGCCACACTCCCTGTCTGCCTCTGCCTTCATCATGTCCTCTGTATTCCAGCTTCTCCTGTGCTCTTGGTTAGCTTTCCCCTCCTTTCAGCTTACTCAGGTCCTTGTGTTTTGAAGGACTCAGCTCACAGGCTTATATTCCTTCCTAGCCTCCCCAGTGGATCTGCTCTTCCCACTGCACACTGATAGCTCCGTCTGTCTCCCTCATCTTGATCTCCAGCACGACTTGTTCTGACGTCGCTGTGATCTCCCCAAGAAAACTAAGCCCTGAGAGACAGCCATTGGTGTCCTATCTGCCTAGTATGGGTAACACCCTCCACCCCACCCCCACACCCCACCAGGGATTCGGGGGTCAAATTTCCTGTTGAAGGTGTATCTGCACCTGGGGTTCATACAGCTCTTCCAGGTCAAGGGTTGCTGTGACCTTACACTTGTTGACTCTTGTTCTCGAAGGCAGGAGTTAAGATAGATTTTCAGGAACCAAGATGGACAGCGAGAAGGCAGACACATGACATATTCCCAGGGTCCGCAGAGCCTCTCCCTTTGGACTGCTGACAGTGTTTCCTGTGCTGGCAGACACAGCGGGATTTCTCTCACTGGAAAAGCTGCACTGGAAGTAGATGGCTCCCACACAGAAAGTCACTTGAGGTTGTCTTCTATAGGGAGACCACTTGAAGCTTGTTTTTCTAGACCGTGTGGATGGTGCTGGCCCAGCTGAGGCGTCCACACCAGGGCTGGGCTCGCCTATGGAAGCACACAGAGTCTCAAGCACCGCTCCCGTAGACTATTCTCAGCTTGCTTTCCTACTCAGTTGCTGAAGGGCAGTTTTGTAACGGGAACCTGCTTGTCATAGATGCTAATAGTTTGTTTCTGCTATGGATACAGAAGCCGCTTCAGGACCAAACAACTAACTAAACGTGCTAAGGTGTTTTCCCTGGAGACGGAGCTCTGTGCTCTGAAGAACTCCCCTGGTAGTGACGCTCGCTCTTCTCTCTTCTCCAGGGTCTGGCATGCTTTGCACATATTCTGAGCCACTCAGAACGAGGAAGGATTTTACTGGGCCCCCACTCTGATTCAGTTTTCTCCTAAAGTCTTGCTAGGAAGGTTCAGTTTGGCATTTCCTTAAGAAAGCTGTAGAGTCAGGCGTGGTGAAGGAAGCCTTTAAACCCAGCACTCAGGAGGCAGAGGCAGGAGGATCTGAGTTTCAGGCCAGCCTGGTCTAGAATAGCAAGTTCCAGGGAGCCAGCGTTACACAGTGAGAGCCTCTCTCAAAAAAACAAGGAAAAGCGGCAGAGATATTGATGTTTAATCTAAGTCCATCATGGTGATTCTCAGTTCATTTAATTCCTGCTCAACTGTGACTCTAAGGATTTTATCTGAGAAACATGTGTTTGAGAAACTCCTGAGCTTGCAGAGCACAGCAAACACCTATGAAGGAAGCCTCCTCTCACTGTGATAGGAATTTAACTCAGACTACCATGTTAAGTAAATGACTGGATGTTGTAATTATTTTCTTTTTTTTTTTTTCCCCAATGAGTAGATTGCCACTGTGAGTCATGTTTGTATTTTCACCTTTCTGTAACTTAACTGTAATGGCTTGATTTTGTTTTTTAAAGCTTACTGTGGTATAATAAGTATTTTCCAGTTTATTTTACTGAGCAGCTATTGCATCTCAGTGTAGTTTCATGTCGTTATTGAACAGAAACCAAAATCAATGTCAGATATCAATGCACTGAAACACTGTATGTATTAATTCCATATTTAAATGAACTAAAATTAGTGCCTGTTTAGAATGAGTGAAAGTTTGTTTTTTAGACAGGGTTTCTCTGTAGCTTTAGCATGTCCTGGAACTACCTCTTGTAGACCTGGTTGGCCTCAAACACACAGAGATCCCCCTGCCTCTGCATCCCGAGTGCTGGGATTAAAGGCATGGGCTACCACCGCCTGGTTGAGTGAAAAGTTTTAAACTTTCACCCACTATTGCACTGATTCATATAAGTCGAGAATTCCTATTCTTTGGCCCAAAGCAACTTCATAATAGTAGTGACAGATGATACAATGCTCACAAGTTTAAAAATATTACATAAGTTGTTGTTCCTCATCCATGTATATGAAACAAGTGAATTTGATGTTTAGTCTGGGAGCTCATTTCCCAAGTTATCTCGTATGTATTCAAATATTACAGACTCTGAAGGAATTCTGATTCCAAGTATTTTGGAAAACAATACTCAGTTTTTAATATATGCCAGCAACTAAAATGTCATCACTAGGCTTGGTGATCATTGGGCTTCCTGTATTCAGGCCCAATGTCTCCACTCTCGTCCCCTCCTTGTCAGGCTGGCCACCTGTAGTCAAGATCTCAGCAGGCTGGTGTATGGGACATTTTGCTGGTGCAGTGGTATCTCTTGGTCTGTCTCTGATTGGAATGCTCCTTCAGGCTGCTTCTATCAGAGGAAAAAGCTTAAGGCCGAGAGCCCCTTGGCTCTCACTTTGAGAGTTGCCACCCCAAACCCATGCTGGTCATCCTTCCCTTTGACAGAGGGAGCAGCACAATACTAGAGTGGGGAGAGCAAAAAGCTTCAGGGCAGACCTGGACCAACCTACTCCAATAGCCAACACTCGGAGGGGTTCTGAGTGTTTGATCCTTGCTCAGTGCTGGGTGTGGGGAAGGAATGGGAGTATTCTTCATCTTGAGACAGCAAGGCTGTGCAGCCCACACTAGGCCTTAGGTAGAAATTCAGGGTGCAGAGGAGAACTCGATTCACAGCAGGCATCAGAAGCAAAGAGCTTTTGAATATATGCACAAGGAAGTACAGCAGAAGGAACCATGAGAAAGAAGTTGGGGAGGTGCCGTTCTCTGGCTTAGCTCTCAATGGGCTACTTCATCTTCTTCTTCTGTTGTGCCTGGACCTTTGAGCCAAGAGCCTGCAGATCTGAGTACAAGTTCCTCTTCAGGATGGCACTGCTGCACAGCAAGGCCCCTTGTAGGGCCCCTACCAGCCCACACGTGAAGATATCTTGCCCTAAAAAGCAAAAGCAGTGGCCCATGAATGTCTACCCACATGAGGATGGGCAAGCAACGGTTCTTGTGTTGATCCCTCCATTTCAGGGCCACCAAAAGAGAGACAGCTTCAGAGAGACCCCAGGACTGTAGTCAGCTAAGGTAGCCCAGTTCCTGGTATAGGAGCTGAAGGGGACAGCGGGGTCAGAGGATGGGAACAAAAGATTGTGTCAGGGAAGCCCAGATTCTGGCAAAGTGAAGGAATGTACCTGTCAGGTAGAGGTTGGGGATGGGGGTTTGGGCTCTTAGGGAAGCCATAGCATGAGGATGCAGACGAGCCAGGTCATGGTCAGCACCATAGGGAGCACCTCGGGGAGCAGCCAGATAGTACTGGTTGGTCAGTGGGGATCCCCCAATCACACTGTCCACCTGAGGAGGCAAAAGGGCAGGGCAAAGGTGAACAAGGGAATATGAGAGAAACTGACCCTTCCTAGTGACTCTGTTACCTCAGGTTCTACCCCTGCACCCAGGAAAGACAAACAGTCAAGGCGTGTGTCTTTTATCTCCAGCATTGTGAACATCAGCCCCTACCTTGCCCTCCAGCTGTGGGAACAGTTTCATGACTACGGACATAGAGGCTTCCACAAAGGCGTTTTTGAGGGTCTCATAGTCAGCACCCCGCTTGCCCTGTGGCTCCTCCTGCCACTCCTCAAACCACTCAAAGGCCGTGGGTACCAGCACAGTCATGGTGGATCGACCTGCAGGTATAAGGCCATGTTACTTCTGCCTGGCCCTGCCTTGACCCACACCGAGCTCCTCTGGACCTAGAGCCCTACCTGGAAATCGGTCCTCCCAGGTTGGGTCCTTGGTTGATGGGAAGGCAATGAAAAGAAGGGGAATGTGTTCTGGAGCCTTTTCCTTGGGCATAGAGATGTAGCGTTCCATCCTGTAAATGAGGTGGGTGTGACTGCCAATCTCTAGGCCATTTTCCTCTGAAGCCACCAGCAGCACCCAGAAGGTGGTTCACTTCCAGAAACTCCCCACAGTGTGAAACAGACACAGCTTTGGTATAAAAAGCCTTTCTGGAAGTACACTGGGGATGGCGCACCTGCTCCCTCAACACACATCCTCCTCTGACTCCTAGAACCATGTCACGGAAGCGTGGTCCTGAGGGTTGAGGCCCAGAGCCATCAGTCTTCCCACCCCTCCCATCTTACGCTTTATCCATGTCCGTGTCAAAATAAACATAGTAGTTGGTGGACTGAAGCTTCAGGTCCTGCTTGGTTCCTCTCAGGCAGATGAAAACTGAGAGCATGCTCATGCCAGGCCTTATCATCGCCAGCTGCTTCTTCACATCTGTAGAGGGAGGCAGTGAGCACTGCATTGCAGGAGCTGTGACCAGACAGCTCCTCCTGCCAGGACAGCCTCAGGATACTCCCTTTCTGACCTGCAGCTTGCTGCTCAGCTGCCAGCATCCACAGAGACATAGCCATGTTTACAGCTCTTCCTACAGGATCCTGGCAGGGACCTGCTCTTCCTGGCTGTGTCAATCAGCCTCAGAGTCTTTCCTCCTCTACCAGCTCTGCTCCATGCACCATTGGTCATAGGTGCCGGCTCCCACACTGCTAATTCACAGCATTTTGGACGATCAGACTGTCTCAGTCGTCCCCTTTAGACACTGTAGGTGCACACGGACAAGTGTGTCCGGATGTGTGGGGAGGAGTCAGAGGACAAATTGATTGTCTCTTTCTTCTTGGGGATCTAACTCAGATCACCAGACTTAGCAACAAAAGTACATTTTTTTCCCCTTTGAGTCATCTCTATGCCCCTTGTTGTTCATTGATGCAGGGTCTCACATAGCCAAGGATGACCCTGAATTTTTCATCGTCCTGCCTCTACTTACCCGATGCAGGTTTACTGCCAAATCCCCTACAGCTATCTTGCCTGTTTGTGAGGATCAAACCCGGGGCTTGATGCATGCTAGGCAAGCACATTGATTAGCTGAGTTTCCTTCCCCAGCCCTCTTCTGCCCTTCGAGAGTCCTTTTCTATTAGAGTCCCAGTTTCTCAGGCAGGGGAAGGCAAATGTACAGGCTTTGGATTCGCAGCCTGAAGTCCACAGCCTACACATTGACAACAGACATATAACAGGGTCCTCAGAGCTCCGCCATTGCCTCTGTGAAGGACCCTTCACCTGTGCAGTCCTGGGTTCCCCAAATGTAAATGTGATGGTGCTGGTAGCAGAGGGAGATCGACAACCAGAGGGGTGCCCACAAGAGGACGAGCGTCACCCAGACTGGGTTATAAGCGCCACAGTAGAATGCCAGTTCAGAGGACCAGCCTTTTACCTGGCAGACCGCGGACACTCCCTGGCACTAAGTGCTGGTAGGTGTTGAACACTCCTGCATTGGAGATGACGATGGGGCAATAGATGTTCACCAGCTCGTGTCCCTTCTTGACACTGACACCTGTAGACACAAGAATATGGCTGAGCTTCTGTGAGCTCCTGAAGAAAAGAAAGATAGGGGTGCCGTGAATCTAGGGGCTCACATGGGCCAGAGAAGTGCTGTACCACTGAGTTACATCTCATGCTTAAGTGAGTTGTTTTTCTGCTAGGACAAGAGGCTGCGCTTTAATCTGCTTTTCCATATGTCTTTTCAGCGGTGTGGAAAATTTGATCACTGTGAACCTGATTTTGCATTTGCTTTAACTAAATAAAACCAATGTTGGGTGTGGAGGCTGAGTTAGCCGCTAGTTGAGAGAAAGGAATCACAGAGTCATGGGTGTCTATAAGATGATAGGCGCATGGAGAGGAGAAGGGAGGGACTCAGTGTAGCATGGGTCATTTTGTTTTGGCTGAGCGGAAGGACGTTCTCTTTTGGAGAGGCCAGCAGAGAGAAGGTCAGTGAGCTGCTACTCAGCCTCTCTGAGGTGGCATGTTTTCACCCCAGCCTTTGACTCCAGAGTATCATTGAAAGTAGAACACTGGAGATTTAATTAAAAGCTTATTCATCAGCAATAACATTGCCAGTGCCTGCTGGAACGGAATTCCCACAGGCCATAAACTGAGTAGCTGGCCGCTGCCAGAGAAGCAGACCAGTAACTTTGAAGCCAAAGTTTTCTGGGTAAAACAGCAACAGATTAAATCGCAGCCTCTGTGCCAACAGAAAAATAACTCAGTTGATGGCTGGGATATCACTCAGTGGTACAGCACATGTCTGGCATTTGTGAGCTCCTAAGTTCACTGCACCCCTACCTTTCATACAAATCATAAAATCTACTTCTCTCAGAGCTTTAATTACGGCATGATGATATATGCTTGTAATCCTACCATTTAGGAGGAAGAAGCAACACAAACAGGGGCTAAAACAGCAGCTTCCACTATAAAGAAAATTGAAAACTAACACTGACCACGTAAGAACCTGCCTCAAAATATTAGCTCTGTCTATAGCCGCACTATAGACAGATGGCTCCTAGGCCCTCCGTTTTCAAACCTAGAAGTTCCTCTGAGCAAATGAGGCCCCAGGCATTCACACTCATCCCATACCTCAAATATTTCTGTCTTATCCGTCTCTAGCTCGTCTCACCTACCAATAAGGTCTTGCTTATCTTTAGCCAAGTGCTCCCATCCCAAGAACACTGGTTCTCTGGAGTCCCAGGCCTCCCTCACTGCTGCCAAGTTCTATGTCCACAGTGCTCCCATCACTCAGCTTCATGAATCACAAGAGTTTCTGTGGTCTGCTCTAGCCTCTATGTCCAACCTCATCTCAGAAAACCCTTATGACAATCCTGACTTGTTGTAAACAACTGCATTTTTGCCATTGTTTTGTGATGGTCAGGGTGCTGCATCCCACATGTGAAGCTCAGAGGACAACTTACAGGGACAATTCTCTCCTTCCAACTTGAAGGCTGTGAAATCAAACTGAGGTCATCAGGCATAGTGGCTGGAATATTTATCCACTGAGCTGTCTCACCAGCCCAGACTCTTACCCTGAATGTACAGGCTGGTTCAACTATAAAGACACATCAGGTCCCTTTCACCCCAGCCCAGTGACCCACAGCTCAGTGCAGGTCTCTTACCACAGGCTCTCCCAGCAGAGTCCAGCAGCACACCCTTCACGGTGGCCCTGGTGAGGACAGCGCCCCCGGCACGCTGAATCAATGGGATGGTATGGAAGGCAATCTCACTGGATCCTCCTCGAGGGTAATACGCTCCTTGTATGTAGTGGTCAATTGTCAGAGCATGCATTGAAAAGGTGGTGTGGCTGGGGGTTACTCCTAAAGCATAAGGAAAGAAAGATAAGATGAGCAGGCAAGAGTGGTCACTTAGTACCATTCTGGAAGAAACAGGGCTTATTGTGAAGGATGATGTTAGTCCATCCCAGGATCCCATGCTCCTTTTGAGCTTAGTGGGATATAAATACACTCCCTGAAAACACTATCCTGCAGACACCAAGGAAGTCACTGACATTCATGGCTAAAGAGAAAACTCGCCCTTGGGCAGTGTGAGAGTCTCAACCTCAAAGCTAAAATGGAAGGATCACTGGATCAAAACCAGACTAGCCTACAGAGAGTTCCAGACCAGCTGAACCAAGTCAGAACCTGTCTCAGGGGTGAGCGATGTGGAGGAGAAAATGCACTGGGGATGTAGCTCAACTAGCAGGGTGCTATCCTAGCATGCAGGAAGGCCTGGGTGTGCTCTCCAGCACCACAAAACCAGGCTTAGCTGCACAGAGCTCTAATCCTAGCACTGGGATTAGAGGCAGAAGGATCAGGATTTAAGGGCACCCTTTACGACAAGAATTCAAAGCTTGCCTGGAAGACCCTGCTTCCAAAAAGGAATGAAAAGAAAAAGGAGAGAAAAAGAAAAGATAAAGGGGAAAAAAGAAAAATGAATCTCGAGTTTATAAACAAAAGAATTTCTACCAGATTCCAGCAGGGGACAGACTTCTCAGCCCTTATCGACAAATTTTATCAGGCCTGGTCTATTCTGGCTTGTCAGCTAGGCAGATGGGGAAGAAAGACCAAAAGTTGGGAGAGCAGCAGCTTAGAAGAGCCTGGGCCAGGAGCACACACCGTAAGTGGGGAAGATGTAGCTGAGAACGGCCTGGAGCTCAGGGGAAGCCCCGAGCTGCTGTAGGACCTCGGCCAGGCTCTGGGTAGATGCTCGGCAGAAGGGAGAGAAACGAGTCAGCAGCCCGAACTTGTTGAGGAGCTGAGTCAAGGGCAATGGGAGAAACTTCAGTAGGATGGCATGAGAGGCTCCACGGGCCACCACCTGGGGAAGAAAGGGTAGGGTGAGTCTCTGGAGCCCTGTAGGCTGACTCCTCTCTCATCCCCAGCACTGACTGCAGTCCCAGCAATGCTTACTCATGTCTGAATTTTTGAACTTAAAAAAAATGTAAGCTGAGCAGGCATTGTCACTCAGGCTTGTGATCCCAACAGCTGAGATACTAAGGCAGGAGAATTGCTATGAGTTCAAGGGCAACCAGAGCCATACACTGACACACGAGTCAGGACTAAATAGCAAGACTGTCTCCCTCATCAAAACACATACAGCAACAACAACAAAAAAAACTACAATGACAACAACAACAACATGGCCCCAGATTTTTCTCCTTCTTACTACTATTAGTCTGTCATTGCCCTTCCTTCTCCAGCTCAAAAAAACTGTAGTTTTTTTTATTATATATAGAGAGTCCGATATATTCCTGTGAACTCCTAATACCCCTGCTTGTACCTCCTGAGTGCTAGGATTACCATCTGCTCAGTTTATGCTGTGCTCAGGAACTTATTTAGAGGTTTGTACATACGAAGCATGAGCCTTATCTCCTGCCCTCAAATTCTTTCCAAATAACCCGGTCAAGAAGCCAGGTGTGATGGCATACACCCAGCAGAGGCAGGTGGATCTCTGTGAGTTCCAGGCCAGCCAGTGCTACACAGTGGGACTCTATCTCAAAAATCACAAACCATTAATCCCAGCACTCCGGAGGCAGAGACAGGCGGTTCTCTGTGAGTTCGAGGCCAGCCTGGTCTACAAGAGCTAGTGACAGGACAGGCTCCAAAACCACAGAGAAACCCTGTCTCGAAAACCCAAAAAAAAAAAAAAAAAAAAAAAAAAAAAAAAAAAAAAAAAAA